AGCATATTCCCACTCCCAGTCATACCAGTCTACTGCCTGGGGAATAAAAAGGCAAGCCATTTTTCAAGAGAGGCAGCTATTCCCTTTGCCTTTCCAACAGCAGTCTGTGGATTTATGTAACTTGGACCATGTCCCGTTGGCAATACCCCTATGGGCTCTAACTTTCTGTTCCTCTACTCTTACTGCCCTACTAGCACATATATTCCACACAGAATTCTGTACGGGTATCAAACTACTGTGGCTTTTGGATACTCTTCCTTATTGGGCCAGCATGGTAACCTGTGATATTTGGCCAATAAATGCAAAATGGCTACCCCCTGCGGTTTGGCAGCTTGTAGAAACATGGATGCAAATTTGCAATTGTTAAAGTTACAGGCAAACTAATGCAGGGAAAATTGAATTCTGCCTCAGTGGAAATACAAAAGACCACCTCCACACCCTATGTCCCAAGTCCACCATCCATCTTATGTCGGACTAGAAGCCTTTAGCTTATGGGGTGCCACAGGGATCGTCTTTGGTCTCCCTATAACCACTAGATGATGTTATCAAAAGATCTGGGCTACAGCATCGCCAGTGGGCAGATGATATCCCATTCTAGCACTCATTTTTCACTGTCTGATCCACGAGAGGAGAAAGAACCCCCATTATCATTGAAAGCTCAGGTTGCTTGGTCTGCCAACTACCTAGAAAAGGCGGATCTGGCCTCTTTTCACCATCCATTAGTTCAATCCAGGCTGCAATTACATGGGGCTGCCTTTAAAAAAACAGTTGCAAAACTGCAAATGGTATAAATTGTGGTTGCCAGGACACCACTGGGAGCAAGGCACTCAGAACAAATGACAGTTATCCTACATCTATTGTCCTAGTTACCAGCTGATTCCTGGAATGAAGATAAAGTGCTGGCTATCTGCCTTATTGGCAGAAATTAGGTTATCTTAAGGATGTCCTTTGCCTATATGAATTTGTATGAGTTTCTTGCTCTCTGGTCCATCATTAACAAGTATACTATTGGTGGATATCAAGAACAGGGCCTTTTCAGTGCTGGCACCACAGTGTGGAATTCTCTCCATAGGATGGTGTCTAAAAAGAGGTACGCACAAATAATTAAGTGCCACCCATTATTTTCTTCTGCATTGCCATGTATCTTAGTGCTTTGATTGCTACTGTTGCATTTTTATATTCTTATAATGTGTCTTTTACATGTATGCCATTTTGGGAAATTAGTTTGAATAGCGGGTTATAAAACCAGTAAGTAAATCCCCACTTCCAAGTTCACGAAAGAAAAAAATAATGTAGCAAAAGACAATGTGCCTTTAGCTGTTCTGAACAAAAATTAAGAACAAAGAGAAGGGGAAACAACAGCTGTGCCTCCAAGGCAAGAGTCCAAGCTGCCTCTTGCAATGAATGGTACAAGTCAGTTTTCCCTGACAGGTAAGATAAGTGCAAAGAGTAATTCATTTCCTGGTATCTTTCTGCTTGACTATCTAGGCACCCACATTAAAACACAATTTCTCACTAATACATACACAGAAACATTTTTTTCTCCTCCCTTCAGACCAGCTACATATTTTCAAGCACAGTGATTGAACACCCCTATCCAAAGTAATGAGAGTTTAATTAATGCATACTATATTTTAATACATATCTACGTTGTAAAGGTTCTTTCCGATGGGTCTTCACCGAACCACATTTTTGAGGGTTTCCACTGCCATTCTCAAGGCTTTGTTTTCTTAAACAAAGATTATTTTAAATGCAATATGCAAGAATATTTGAATAAATAATTAGGAGTTGTTTTTTTATAGGAAGGCAAAAGCCATGCACAGTCATGTTATCTCATTTGGAATGCCAAAGACATGGTATTTTCAACATCCAACTGCAATTACACAGACCATCTAAAGAGTAGAACAGATCTCATAAATATGGCCTCACGCAATTGGTGTACCAATTATGGCAACAATGATATTTTTTAAATAAGAAGTATTGCATACCTTTCATATTTCACGTATATCTGCCTAGCATTGTATCGATACGAAATTCCCTGGGCGTGCAACCTCTGATACATAGGAAAAACAGAAGGTAGCCAATACATCAAGTGATGACCAGGGAGTTTCTTGAAGGACAAACAGGGTGGGATACAATGGTGGAAGGGTTTGGAGCCAAAGACAGAAGCTACTGAGCAAAGTCTCATTTTAAGCCACAGGCTTAAATCTGCAGCTGAGCGAGATAACTCACTCCTACCACGACCTGTTTGGAGCTAGAGAGAACACATTGCTCCCCAAGCTGTCCTTCCAGAACAAAGGCTCTGTCCTGGCTCTATTCAGAAGCAGCCTACTGGAAGGGAAGCAAGGTATATGTGGCATTCACATGTGCAAATGGGGACATGATCATGCTGGAGTACAGGGCTGCATCTGTGCAGGCTTGACAGAGAGCAGGAGAGATACAGATGGAGACAGAATGCTAATTTTCATTGAAAACAAATGTATGATAGGTGTACTCATGTATGATGAGCGAGCTTTAGAATAGAATCAGATGCGCATTCTGCAGGAAGCTCACCGGCCACTAATCACCAGCAATATAACTCTCCATACTCAAAGAATATGCTCAACTTGCACGTCTTTAAAAGGATCCAGGAAACACTAGCACTGGACAAAACACCATCTGTTCAACCTTCCATTTAACTTTCTTTTCTTGGCATTCAAGCAAAAGAAACCCTTTCCATCTGACCTCCTGAAAAATTGCTATTACTGCGCCTTCTAATAAGAACAGATATTTTGTCTGCCCTTTGTCTTTCACAGAGACCAAGGCAAAGCAACACAGAATTTTCATGAATCATTGCTATTTGCTTATTTTAGGCTCAGTGGGTTTAATTTGTACACACTCGCAATGAATGCCTTGCAGTCCGGATTCCCAAGGTGCTGTATCAACATTTCAGCAGCCCTTTTTTTGAACCCTTACAACCTAATGCATAACACATGTTGTCCTCTTTTTTATCTACCAAATATCTGCTTACTCAAGGTTGAATGACAACAACTGAGTGCGGGATAACGAAACAGCCCTGCTATATTCCTAACCAACTAAAAAACACAGAAAAGTGCTCAAACATGCAACCTGAATCCAATTCCAGCTTTCGTCAAGTTGACAGGTCAAATATTAATACACAAATGATCACGGTAAACATTTCTTTAGCACGTGCATCTCCATTTATATTTCTTTATTTTATTAGATCTTATCTCAAAACGAGCTTTCCTTTTGGGGCCATAAACCATAAACTTTAGTAAGACAAAGTTTTCTTTAATTTTTAAAGGCATTATTTTGTGAGACCAAAGTATTAGTGAACTAGTTCCAGTTGTGACCTACAAGAAAGTAAACCAATAGGTTGGAGCAGAGCATGGGGGGAGGGGGGGAAATAGATCTGAAAAGGCGTGACGGTTGGGTTTTTTTGTGTGCTGGGTTTTTTTTTTTTTTTTGCATATTGAATCCAATTCTCATATCTGAATGTGTCTGCTATACTAAAATTCAGAGCCCCAGGAAGTTATTTAGCTAGGAAAACTGTTCAGACTTAGTACCTGGTGTTTAACAGTTTTGTTTTAAGTCAGTTTTATAGTTAAAGTTTAGAGTATATGTTCAATTCTAACAATTAACCCCCCCCCACAAAACCAGCAACTTAAAACTAAGAAAGTAATGAGAGGAGGTGGAGGAATTGCATTTTGAAAAAAGCAGCGCTGTAGGGAGACAATACAGACTCCTCATCAGAGCTTGTGTTGGCCAAGTCAGTGACATAATTATAGAGCAAGAAGCCAAGCTGTTTCTCACCTACCCAAAACACCTGAAAGCATCCAGCGTTCAGACAGCTACACAAATATATCTGCTTAGACTGTCAACAGAACTTTTGCTGCCATGCCAGGTGCCAGAATATTGGCCTTTCTGCAATACACACTCCAAGCACCCATTCTGATTCTTGCTGCCCAAAAATCTTGAGATTCATTTTCCATCCGTGTGAGAGGCTGCTTCCTAAGGTTTTGAAGCTAGTGCTTTAATTTATTCCATCCAGCAGCAGGGCGGCTGCTGGCTGGCCTAGCCTAAACCTGACAGAGGGAAAACAAGCCTTTTAAATATAGATTGACTTATACCACCCTTTCTGCTGGTGTTAGTTCTGCTGGGTTCCCAGGTCATGTGACTGAGCTGAGCTGAGTTACGAATCCAGAATAAGTCCCTCCTGCCCCCAGAACACCCGTTATTCGGGGATGACACTGGCATAGGTTCTACGCGGCAAGTTCAGCCCTGGGATGTGGGAGTTAAGTTTGCGTATCTCCGACTGAACCAGAGATGCTCCATATCTTAAACTCACACACCCTGGTGGATCTAGGGCTGGGCTTGCACTCCAAGACACTAATGAGAAGAAACAAAACCAAAGTGCTAAGATTAACTTTAAAGTAAAAAGATTGGTAAGAAGATAACAATCCTACTGGGGTTTTTTGTTTTAATAATAATAATAATAATAATAATAATAATAATAATAATAATAATATATTATTTATACCCCGCTCATCTGGCTGAGTTTCCCCAGCCACTCTGGGCGGCTTCCAATCGAGTGTTAAAAACAATACAGCATTCAATATTAAAAACTTCCCTAAACAGGGCTGACTTCAGATGTCTTTTAAAGTTAAGATAGCTGCTTATTTCCTTCACATCTGAAGGGAGGGTGTTCCACAGGGCAGGCGCCACTACCAAGAAGGCCCTCTGTCTGGTTCCCTGTAACCTCACTTCTCGCAATGAGGGAACAGCCAGAAGGCCCTCGGTGCTGGATCTCAGTGTCCGGGCAGAACGATGGGGGTGGAGATGTTCCTTCAGGTATACAGGACCTAGGCCATTTAGGGCTTTAAAGGTCAGCACCAACACTTTGAATTGTTTTTTTTTAAAAAAGAATATATGCACTGCATTTCCCAGAGTGCACCTGAAGCTCCTCTCTTTAGTTGAATTCAACAGCCTTAGCACCTTACCAATATCATGTGCCCAGTAGAAATGTCCATGTTGGACTGGACTGGTTCTTCGCACCAGGATGAAGTGCTGCTTCGAGCAGAAGGACTCTGGAGGGGCCCATCGCTGAACTGCGAAGATATGCTGTTAATGCGAGACGTATGCAGAGGCTCTGGGTGGTCGGAGGTTTTCACTGCCATACGCTGGCGGCACAACTCCTAGAGGAGACAGACAGAAGGAATATCCCGGGATTAAAATCCAGAATCTAAGAAATCATCCACCAAAGCACACATTTAATACACAGGGGTTTGTCCCTACGTGCAGGCTGGACTCCTGTTACTGCCTCTGAGCTTCATGTCCACAACAACTACATGCCAGACAGAAGGAAAGATGCAACAACAGCTTTGGTCCGTTTGCAGGATTGTTGCGCTATGTATAATGCTTGATTATCAAAGCTTATTAGGATTCGTGCAAAGCACAAGATTTCAAAATATACAGATTAGAGTCAAAACTAGTCAAAACTATGAATCCCCATGATGGGGTGAGCTCCCGTTGCTCAGTCCCTGCTCCTGCCAACCTAGCAGTTCGAAAGCACGTCAAAGTGCAAGTAGATAAATAGGTACCACTCCAGTGGGAAGGTAAACGGCGTTTCTCTGGTTTGCCAGAAGTGGCTTAGTCATGCCGGCCACATGACCCGGAAGCTGTCTGAGGATGAACACTGGCCCCCTTGGCCAGTAAAGCGAGATGAGCACCGCAACCCCAGAGTTGTCTGCGACTGGACTTAACAGTCAGGGATCCCTTTACCTTTACCTATGACCACTGGAACCTACCTACTCTAGAACTCTGATGTCAGTAAAGCTACTTTGGAATAAATTTCTGCAGAGGCTCCCGGCTTGTGGAATGCTCTCCTCAGGGAGGTTCGGCTGGTGCCTTCATTATACACCTTTAGGTGCCAGACGAAGACATTCTTCTTTAACCAGGCCTTTGGCTGATTGGCATCTGATGCCCTTTTAAATGTGTTGCTGAAGGGCAATTAATGGGTTGCTTTGCTTCTTGTTTTTATTATGTATTTTGTGTTTTTTATATTGCAGTTTTGTGTTGTGAACTGCCCTGGGATCTAAGGGTACAGGGCGGTATAATTTTTAATAATAATAATAATAATAATAATAAAAAATGTTAAGTGGTACCATCAGCAGAGGGTCCCCAAACACAGCAGGGCTGGCTTACAACATTTTGAAGTAATCTATAGCATCATTTAAAATGGGGTGGGTTGGGGGTTCCTCATAAGACCATTGGTTCAGAGTCTAAATTTGCCTAACTGCAAACTGACAGTTTACCATTCCAAATTGTGTAGCCAAGTTATTCAATTTCTCTGCTCCCTTTTCACTTGGCATTATGCATATATTCCAGGGTTGGAAAAACCAGATGACTTCTTTCATGCCTCCTTGAATTGCAATAGCTACATCACATCACACTCATTGGGAGACAACTGAAAACAGGGGTGTGTGGGGCAGGTTTCCCCCAAAAATGTATAGAAAACCGGGGGGGGGGGAGAGAGGGGCTGACCGATAACTTTCAAAATGTAGATTCTAGGAGTCCAGCTAATTTGCAAGGTCTGGAGTCTATGTCTGGCACTTAAAATACAGGAAACCCACTTCTAACATTTGAATGCTATATGTTAGATTCCTCTAACATATATTGCATGCTTTACAGTTTCATTTTTTTAATGACATACAGTGCGTAAGTTTTTAAAGCAATTGCCTACATGTGCCACTACTATGGTACATATGCACTAGACTTGTAGCTAAATAATATTAGGGTGCATTCAGTAAGACAATTCTCTGGTAGCCTGATAAGTAGGTTGAGCAATAGCAGTCCATCAAGGTTTCCTGGAACTTTTGCTTTGGGAAATGGCAGGGGTGCAAAGACAGAAGCTGAAGGGAAAGGTCCATTTGGCCCCCACTTTCTGATAACAGAGCCCCAGCCAGAGCCCAATCGCATTTGTATGGTGGAGGGGATGCATTTGCATGAGTTTCATATCAACCCACCCTTGTTTCTTGTGCTGCAGTCCACACAGTATCTGGATCCAAGTCAGAGGTTACTTTCCATAGGCACTTGAAGGCATCTCTAAAATAACTTTTGCCCAACTTGGTTACGGGCTACAGTCATACCTTGGCAGTCGAACAGAATGCATTCTGGAAGTCCGTTCGACTTCCAAAATGTTCGGAAACCAAAGCGCGGCTTCTGATTGGCTGCAGGAGCTTCCTGCAGCCAACCGGAAATCCTGTTGGACATTTGGCTTCCAAAAGAATGTTAAAAAACCGGAACACTCACTTCCGAGTTTCAATCATTTGGGAACCAATTTGTTCGGGAGCCAAGGCGTTTGAGATCCAAGGTACAACTGTATTATGTAGAACCGGCACCAATGTGGTATTCTAGATGGTTCTGCTTATTTGTATAGAAATAAAACTTTCTAGCATCAATTATTATTTGCTGCTTACATTATATGCTTTCTTGGAATGGGAAACAGCTGAGTAAAAAGTAAATGTAAGAGGAATTTTAAAAGGTGAATCATTATGTGATTTAACATTAATTGCTGCAAGTAATATTTTTACATATATTGCATACAGGATCAATGCATAATCCGACAGAGGATGCAAGCCACTTCCTGTGCACTCTCTCTTCACGTAAAAGCAGCATTTGTTTAGGCTTCCATCTGTTCTTAGTACTCATATCCTGACCAGGGCTATACTCTACAACTGGTTTCCCTTGTTTAGACTGCTGGCATTAAGGTGGGGCAAGGGAAGGAATAAGAACAAGTTAACAACCAGAAATTAATAGCTCCTATTTATACAAAAGCAATAGGGCTGAAGATGGCATAGCAGTTATGCAATCTCTGTTTTTCTACAAATGTATGTTTTAAAAAATATAAAATAACTTTTGCTCTTAGGGCAGCAGCAGGAAAGAAGCCCCCCCCGCCCAAGTTGGAAGATAACAGATAAGGAAAAAGTAATGAACCAATAATTTATATTAGAACAATTCAATTCCTTACTGAGAGTTTCACAACCCATTCTTATGGTAGCTTCTGAGTCAACTATAATTGCTTTGCATACCCAAAGAAAGCAGGAATGGTTATCTGAGCTACACAATGGGAAGTGAAGTCAAGATGTACAAAGGGTACATCAGAAAATGGGCGAGACTGATGCTAAATGTTAGTCATGCGCAAAGTAGATTCCTTGAAATAGATGGACTTCAGTGAGCATCACCCAAAATGACACTCTGTTTTTAAAGTATTAGAATGTTTTTTCTTCTTTCCACCTTTTCTTTATCAACACAACTGCTTCTAATATCAGAAGGAACAAGAAAATAAAAATTCCTTGGGGCAGTGACAGTTATTCACTTGCTTCCTTCTAGCCCAGGCGTTGCCAAACTTGGCCCTTCAGCTGTTTTGGGACTACAATTCCCATCATTTCTGACCACTTGGTCCTGTTAGCTAGGGATGATGGGAGTTGTAGTCCCAAAACAGCTGGAGGGCCATGTTTGGCCATGCCTGTTCTAGCCCAACCCTTCCTGGCTTCTCTTCTGCCACAGAAAAACAAGAGACTTGAATGGCAACAGCTGAAAGGAACATCTTGTTCTGTGGGAGGGGGCAAAGCAAGCAAAGAGGGAAACCACTTGGGTGGGTAAAGGATGCAGTGAACAAGGCCTGTGTGAAACCATCTCTTGAGCCAACACAAGCAGGTTAGCACCCAACCATATACAATTCTGGGCACCACACAGTAGAGGGTAGTACTAATATCTCCAACTTTGTACCCCTTTGTTTCAAATTCACAAAGGGTCTTTAGAGGAGAATTCTTAGAATACATTCTGGAAACACCTTGTCGTGCATACTGGAAACTCCTAGAACATGGGTAGGCAAACTAAGGACCGGGGGCCGGATCCGGCTCAATTGCCTTCTAAATCCAGCCCGTGGATGGTCCGGGAATCAGCGTGTTTTTACATGAGTAGAATGTGTCCTTTTATTTGAGTATATTCCCGACAGGACCACCACTGTTTCCTTTCTTACATTCATTTATTCACTTTATTAATTTATAATATGCTAGGCATTAAGCTACTACCATAGCAGCGTGCAACAATAAACTCCCTCAGATAAAACAGTTATGAGAAAAATATCAAATACCCCTTGCAAGTGAAGCCATCCATCTGAGAAAATGTTTAGAAATCAGATTCTCCATTAGCGCTGACTTAGTCTATGGGCTGAGGACGATTGCAATAAATGTTGCATTGTTCAGTGGAGCTGACACTCAGCCAATATTTAGTAGTCAGACCAGTAAAACTATGTTCTGTGTGTGATACTAATTCTGACAAAGCAGAAAACTCAAGGGTTGCCCCTTGGCTTTAAGCATCGTCCTCCAGACTGCATTCTGGTTCCATCCCAGAACAACGTGATTCTAGACTAGCTCCACCTCAGCTTTTGGCTCAAGCAGAGGTCAAGGGTTTTGGTAATCTTATTTGCCACCAGTGAACCGTCCCCATTATTATGACTTCCATTTCAAAAAAAGTAATCAGAGAAACCATACACCACAACAATAGTGGACTAAAACCCTGTCACTGAGCAATGGTGATGCAGTTCTTTGTTTGCTTACCGCCTTGACGTTATTTCTAAGCACTTGCCAGTGTGGACCCACTTCAAACTTCCCCCAAACCACCAGTATCAGTTCCGCTAATTTAGTCCTCTGTTGCTCCCACCCACCCACCCCCAAAAAACAAGAACAAAAAATCTGTCCTGAAGTGAAATTAGTAGGGCAGACTGAAGGCCTACTTTTGGCCCAGCCTTTTATATCTGAGTAGTCAAAAGACCCAACATGTTTTATTCTTTTCTCAAATGAAGTTACAAGTGCAAGTCCTCTTCAGATTTGCTAGGTGTACATGGCAATACATAACGACGGCACAGAAAAGCTACAAACCTCAATTGCCTGTGTCACCAGATTTACTACCCATATCCTTGGGACTATCCATCCACCCTAATCACAAAATTATGCTCTCAGAAACTGCTCACAAAACTATGAGCAACAACTGAATATTTGTTTCCCTGCCTAATGGGCCGTAGTTTGGTCAACGCTGCCTGCGTAGTTGAACATTCCCACTTTAACTAACTGAAAACACTACTAATGGCTTCCCAGCTCAAGAAGCATTCTCTTTCCCACAGAAAATTCCC